GTACAGCACAGCCCGACAGCAGGCGCTGCGCGAGAGACACCCAGGGCGGGAGGAGCAGGGGGGATGGAGGCCGGATTGAGGGCGCCCCCAGAACTGGGGGTGTGGGGAGGTTGAGGGGCCCTGGTAGGGCTGGAGGGGAGCCAGGCCTGGACTAACGGGGGCCTGGCAGAGCTATGGAAGGGAGGGGGCTCATCTCTTGCCCTCATTACCCCTCCTGCTCTCCACAGAACCCCAGCTCAGTCTGAGGGGACCAGAGGGCCAGCATGGTCCCAAGGCAAGGCTGGTCGGGCAGTTGGGGAGCCCCTGTGCTGCACGGGGGGAGCCGTGGAGGAAGGGCTCTGTACCCTCTACCTCTGCTGTTCAGCATCCAGGGCAGAGCCCCTGGGGTACCTGAGGTTTCTGTGTTTGCTGCACATTTGTGTGGGGGTGGTCTCCAGTCCAGAGCCCCTTGCGGCAGGGGCTGCTGGGGGCCTGGCTAACAGGGCTGCATTGGGGCTGGGGGAGGTGCAGACTTCTAGGAGTGCCTGTCAAGTGGGAGGAAGGGGTGGCTCTGGGGACAGAGGCAAGTCAAACCCTCCAGCCGGGGCAGGCAGCTCCTGCCCTCAGCCTGGCCCCAGGCACTGGGCCCAGGCACTGGGCGTGGGCCAAGCGAGGCCACGAGGAGCCACGCAGGTGAGAAGGGGAAGCCAGAGGCCGCATGGCTAGTCTGCTGGATTGCAGGAGGGGGGTCCAGGGCTGGGCCAAGCCTGGAGCTCCCTGTGAGCAGACACACCTGTGAATGCCCCGTCTCCTGCTGGGGAGATGCTTCCCTGTTGGCGACTGCCTTGGTTCACCCATGCTTCTCTCTGCTGCCTCGGCCCGCGGAGGGCTCTGAGCCCTGCCTGACTGCTAACTGACCCTGCCCGAGCCAGGAGCTGAGGCCTCCAGGGGGAATTGTGGCATGTCTCAGCCCAGAGACACCTGGGCTCCCCTGGCTGTGCACGAACTGCGGCCTGCAGTATGGGCCTTGCTTGGGGCTCAGGGCCGGGCCCTGG